AAGAGCTAAATTGTGTAAGAAATGCAGCTAAAAAGAACAGACTGTTGACTCAGAGTCGGGTCGAGTCAATAATCGAATACGCTATTAGTGCGCACTGAGTGCGCACTACGCGAGTGTCGTGCGATCAAATGAACACATGACACTAGCCAAGTGCGCATTGGCACTGCCAATCGAACACGCTCTTGACACTAAGTGCAGCCAGTGCACCCCAATCGAAAACGCTATTAGTTGAATGCACCTTCCTTTTGTATTCTGATAAGTGAGATACAACTGCAGCGTCGGCCATATGTGTCGCAATCACATGTGCAGCTACATGTAATCAGCTGCGGTCACAATATAGCTGCTTCACTTAGGAGGGGATACCCAATCAGAATACATATCAGACCACCAATCAGAAACTCGGACATCAATGTCGCTTCTCTCTATATATAGGGCTCTATTGTACACCATCCCCGAATTGGCGTCCATGCGGCGGAATATCGGGGAATTACGACTTGTGCGTTTACCTTACTTACGATCAAGAAGACTAGAGACCAGGGGGTGGCACCCAGTTGGACACGGCTCAATTGGACACGAGCCACTCACAGAGCTTGAGACTACAAAGCTCCTAAGCACCGGTCGCTGTGATTGGTGGTGTCCAATCGAGCCGTGATCAATCGGGATCACCCCAGACCAGGGGATCGATTCTGTATCTTGAAACGAGGTGAAAATTACAAATTGAGCGAATTTACTTAGAATACTGATAATTTTATTGGTCAACACCTAATACATTGGCTCACTTTTGTAATTTTTTCCTTGTTTGAAGATACGGAATCGACCCCCAGGGACCCTATTCTGTAACTCTGAGGGTGATGTCCCATGCAGCGGATCGTGCGTAAGCGGATTCGCGTATCGCCAATCACAGAATTATTCTCTTAGATCTGTTTGCAAATTTCGCAAGCATATCTAAGAGAATGATTCTGTGATTGGCGATACGCGAATCCGCTTGCGCACGATCCGCTGCATGGGACATCACCCTTAACGCAAATTTTGTTATCATTATAACGCTACTACGCAGCTTTTTTACCATAGTGAAAGAGCTGTGCAGCAGCGTTATAATAGGTTTGTTCGCGTCGCATGCTCCAACATACTCCTACCATAGCTCCTACTCACTCTATCAAGCGCGTTGGAGTGAGTAAGAGCTATGGTAGGAGCATATTGGAGCATGCGACGCGAACAAACCCAATGACAACGAAATTTGCGTTAAGAGTTAGTCCGGATCTACAATAGGTGTTTCAAGCCTTAAGCTGTAAGAAATTGACCAATGGCAGACAAATTCGGGGAGAATAATCGATTATGATTCGTCCATTTCTTATGGCTTAAGGCTTAAAACTCTATTGTAGATCCGGGGTTAACAGGTCTGTTTTCTGTGGCTGAACTAGGCTGCGTTCCACTTAACGCCCGCAATGCTCGCGAGCATCGTTTATCCTTGTTTAACATTTGATAAACGACAAGGATAAAATGATTCCACGAGCGTTATGAGCGATAAGTGGAACGCAGCCCTAGTGTACACTTTTGGAACTAAAAATGAGATAGATATATGTTTGATATTTGTTTAAAGCGAGAAAGAGAGTTCTAGAACAGTCTAGTGCAGGAACAAAAAACAGACCAACAGAATAGGTCTGCTGGTGCAGTGTTGTTAGATGAGCCCCCTTTTAGCGCATGCGCATTGGAGTATAGCATCAATGCTGTACTAATGTCGAACTTATAAAGGTTCTTTAAGGCCCTATTTTGACGTTTCTGTAAAAATTATATCATTTTTTGTTTTTGTTTATTATTATTTATTATTAAAAACCGAAATCAGTAAAAAAAAATCAATAATAGAAGTGACGAAATTATAATATAATATGAAGTCACATAAACTGAAAACTCCAATAATTGATAACAATAGTAATATAACAATAATTAAGACTGTCCATCTAAGTTAGTGTTATACTGTAAATATATGTTAAAGGTGTAAGATTCCTAAATAAATAAACAGAAATTTATAATAGATATAATATTTTATTTGGCAGAATTATAAAGAATACCAACATTTGTTGCAAGGATAAGGGAAACTGCCAAAAATCTTACTTTATATGTATAAATATTATTTTACTTACATCTAATTGTCATTCTGGCCTGGATCCCACCAAAACTATAGGACTCTTCTCTCTCATCCTCCGTAATGACCATTATACATTCCTGGATTTCTCCAGCGCTGCAGTGCGCATACGCTAAAAGGGGGCTCATCTAACAACACTGTGTGCAGTGTGGTGCAGTGGCACTGCGTATTGTGTAAAAGTTCGATGTAAGAGCGACGACTATAGCTGCTTTCCATTTACACTGATTCTCAGATAATTCTCACTTGTGACGTCATAATTCAGTTGAATGCGCGTTGAATTCCTTTTGCATTATGACAAGTAAGATTCAACTGAGCTTTTACCCATAATCTGCACAAGATCGAGACCGTGTGCATTAGTGAGTCTCGTAAACTCACTTCAAAGTGAGGTTATAAACCTGTGTTGACATGTGATAACTTTTTATCAAAGTAAGCAAGTAGTGATGTCATTAATCTGAGGCCGCGGTCCGATACACGCTCACAACGCTTAAAAATCATTTCATCCTTGTTGTTTGTCAAATATTAAACGAAGATAAACAATGCTCATGAGCGTTGTCAGCATGATTCGGACCACGGCCTGAGTATAAAATACTCATCTCACTTCAGACTCGGTTTCACTTGTGTGTAAATGGAAAGCAACTCGTATAGAGCGACAGAGAGGACTAATGAAGCGCAAGAGTGGGGTAAGTTATTAACTGTCACTTTTTACTTCATCCGCTTAAACGCTATTGGCACGGAGTTGTCTCTGGGTCCGCACTCCGCGCACAAATGACAACGAAATTTGCGTTAAGAGTTACAAGGTCTGTTTTCTGTGGCTGAACTAGGCTGCGTTCCATTTAACGCCCGCAATGCTCGCGAGCATCGTTTATCCTTGTTTAACATTTGATAAACGACAAGGATGAAATGATTCCACGAGCGTTATGAGCGTTAAGTGGAACGCCCTAGTGTACACTTTTGGAACTAAAAATGAGATAGATATATGTTTGATATTTGTTTAAAGCGAGAAAGAGAGTTCTAGAACAGTCTAGTTCAGGAACAAATAACAGACCAACAGAATAGGTTTGCTTGTCGCTGGAGAGTCATCCAGCGTGGAGGAGCGAGTCAAAAAACGTCCGCGGCTATTCACACGATGTGCACTTTTCTATATTATTCCTATCGCTATACTATCGCTATTGCCTGGCATTGTGTTTAGGCCTTAAGAGCGACGACTATAGCTGCTTTCCATTTACACCGATTCTCAGATAATTCTCACTTGTGACGTCATAATTCAGTTGAATGCGCGTTGAATTCCTTTTGCATTATGACAAGTGAGATTCAACTGAGCTTTTACCCATAATCTGCATAAGATCGAGACCATGTGCTTTAGTGAGTCTCGTAAACTCACTTCAAAGTGAGATTATAAACTTGTGTTGACATGTGATAACTTTTTACCAAAGTAAGCAAGTAGTGATGTCATTAATCTAAGTATAAAATACTCATCTCACTTCAGACTCGGTTTCACTTGTGTGTCAATGGAAAGCAACTTGTATAGAGCGACAGAGAGGACTAATGAAGCGCAAGAGTGGGGGAAGTTATTAACTGTCACTTTTTAATTCATCCGCAACGCTATTAGGCACGGAGTTGTCTCTGGGTCCGCGCACAAAGATGGTCGGAACTGTTTCCGATTGAGTTGTAATCGTAAGTTGTGTCGTAGGTCAACACACAATGATTTTACGTATGTCGTTTACGTAAAATCATTGTGCGTTGACCTACGACAACGACTTACGATTACGACTCAGCCGGAAAGTTGCGAATCTTTGTGCGTGAACCCTCTCCTGGGTACCTATTATGGAAATAATCGAAATGGATTCCGATCGGAATTATTTCGTTTTCCCCAGAAAACACAATAGAAATCTAGGGAATAATTGAATAATTCAGATCGGAATCCATTCCGATTATTAGGTACCCTGGTCTCTAGTCTTCTCGCAGTAACGCTGTAAGTGAGAACGGAACGGAGTGTGATATACCACGTTTTTCAATAAAAGTCTGGGGTGAGTTTTGATATTCATATCGTGGTCCTTGAATATCCTTGGATCTTGGAATTATACCGAAATTTAATGTTTAGGAAAATTTCTAGACAACCTTTGAAATTTTAGGGCTGGCTTGGAATTTATTATTCTTTCATTCTAAAAAAATCGAGTCATAACAAAAGAAAAAAATAATAAAAAAGAAAATTGTGTTTGGAAATAAACCCTCTTTTAAGGAGGTTGTAAGGGCATAAAACACATATATTAATATTTTCGCTTTAAACAAACCACACACATGTGAAAGTTGTGTTCATAACATTCTGGTTTTATTGAGCAACACATTTTTATAGGTTATTTATTGTATTTGTTATTAGTTTTATTGTTATAAACAAAAATTGTTAAAATAATAAGAAAAATCGAAATGTTTTTATATAAATATATTAAATACTAAACATGATTTATGCAAAGTTTCATTGAGATTCACCATTAGTTTACAACAAATAACAAATTTTATTTATTTACTAAACAATTAATGTCTGCATCTCAAGATACAACATTTACAAAAATATTGTTGAATTCCTAGAGTATTTATTTTAAAAAATTGAGATTTTTATCATTATTTTATAATACATTTTCATATATTTATATTAGAGTACAAATTTAAAAAATATAACTACTTATTTAAATAAATTCTGATCCAGATAGTCAATTGTTTCTATTTTTCTTTGTATTATTATTAAATGAAATTTAGAATAGTCTGTAATTTTTTCAAGTAGTTCTTAACATATTGCATTTGCCTTACAACCTCCTTAAAGATGCAATAATAATTAAATTACCAATAGAAAATTTGAATGATGAGGACAAAGGATAAGGACAAAGCAATACCTCCTTGCCTAAAAGTAAAACAACCGACTCCTGATTGGTTCCGCATTGTGTCAGAAGTAATAAATCGGCAAATAGGTAATAGATCGTTATTCCAAAGAAGATTCTATGGTTCTTTACTTGCAGTGGAACGACTCGAGTTTATGCATACCCTTGAGCATCCGGTAAATTCTTCACCTTGTAAATGTTATTGAACTATACAATGGGTAAATATGTAGTTTAGGGAGCCCCCTCCTCCCCTCCAATGACCTTGACATATGTTAATTATTAAGGTCATAACCCTGAGTGACCTTGAGAAAGTTTTAACGGTCGGACGTCACTCGTTAAAAAGTTATAAACAAAAGAAGATTAAGAAATAACGTCACATTTCTGCTCTATATAAAATGAAATTTTGATGAATATAATATATTATAACTATATAAAATGAAATTTTGATTCCTATCCCATTTCCCTGTCTGCTTGGGGACGCACGACTTTTAACTAAAACCTAAAGTACTCCCATTCCACCTCCCCCCTGCTTGGGGGAGCACGACTTTCACTTATATTTTCTTCCGATGACAGTCGTGCGTCCCCAAGCCCCCCTATTGAGGTGAGATGGGAGTCACTTCGCGTGGAAAGAGAGTTGTAAAATACATTTTAAAGCAGAACATTTCTATTTTAAACAATATCTTTATTTTAGACCGTATATGTGAGAAACACAATCAATACTAGAAATTTAAAATGCCTATTACGGTCAAAGCGGGATCTTCGTTGCTTAAATAATTCAATCTTGAATTACTAAATAAATTTATTAACAGTTTTAACATATGTTAATATTAACATCTTTATAATATATGATGCTTGATGGTAGCATCAAATTATTAAATTGCTTGTCAATTTAATTCGCTATTACTAGAGTAGTTTTTAATTGCGTTTATTTAGTCCGGAAAAATAATTCGGCGCGCAGTTTGAAAAAGACTACAATATGATATATATGCAAGTACATATATAGTACATATTAGTAACTCAAGATTGAATTATTTAAGTAATGAAGATCCAGCTTCGACCGTAATAATCATTTTAAATTTCTAGTATTGATTGTATTTCTCTCTATTTTATACGGTGGAAAAGAGATATCCTATACGTTATATTTTAAGCTTCTTTTATTTATAACTTTTTAACGAGTGACGTCCGACGGTTAAAACTTTCTCAAGGGTCACTCAGGGTCATGACCTTGACAACATTTGTCAAGGTCAAGATCATTAGAGGGGAGAGACTCCTAAACTACATATGTACCATACAATGTTATATACAGTGATGGGAGAAAGTTCGGCAACGGTTAAATATCTTGGAAAATAATGCTTATGGAAAAAAATGTTCAATACAAAAGTTTTAGTATATCAAGTGGTCTATTATATGGTTATGTTGAAATGACCTTCATGTGACCTTGAAGGACACCGTGAAGGTCAACTTTGAAATCTTAAATGGAAATACCTATTTTCTCGTACATATCCTTAAAGCTGGTGTCAAGACGTTTCCGAAACACTGGTTACAAACCCTTTTTGCTTGAGATCTTCCTGAGTTAAGAACCTTTAAAGTTTAAGTATCGCCGGCGCGTTACTAAGGTATGCGCGCGCGAACACACACACAAACGCGCGCGCGCACAAGACTCACTTTGATCAAGCATCTCGAAGAGGTGGATATCCGACCATGCCACCTCCACGCAGTATACCTTATACTTAGATAACGCGCCGGCGATACTTAAACTTTAAAGGTTCGTAACTCAGGAAGATCTCAAGCAAAAAGGGTTTGTAACGAGTGTTTCGGAAACGTCTTGACACCAGCTTTAAGGATATGTAAGAGAAAATAGGTATTTCCATTTAAGATTTCAAAGTTGACCTTCACGGTGTCCTTCAAGGTCACATGAAGGTCATTTCAACATAACCATATAATAGACCACTTGATATACTAAAACTTTTGTATTGAACATTTTTTTCCATAAGCATTATTTTCCAAGATATTTGACCGTTGCCGAACTTTCTCCCATCACTGTATATTATCTTGGAATCATATATTATACATTATTTTTTTATCATTATTTAGTGGTATGTATGAACATTTGATTGTTATTTATAGTATCACGTAGGTGCCTTAAATTTCAATCAAAAAGGAAATTTATTAGTGAGTACGTCTCATGATATTGTGTCTATTTGGGATTGGGCCATAAGGAAAAAGCGTTACTGTTTTGAAGGTTCCCGTACATATATGATATACGGAAAATGGCATGTATGTACTTATACATAAAGTATTATGATTAGAATATTTTGTAATAGTTATTTCGATTTAATTGTATTTTTCCTTTTCTAATTAATCTTCTTATTTTAATCATTTACGTTTAGGCCATATGGTTGCCATTAGATGTGGAAAATTTTATTGTCACTACTGATGTAAGTGGTACTATATGTTTATTCGATCTTGAACACAACGCATCAAAAATACTGATAGATTATGATGGAGGGAAAACTGTGGCTGTGCCTGAAACACCTTATGTGGTGTTTTCTGCTGGACATAGTTCAAGGATATTGTCGATAGATATTCGACAGAGTACACCAAATGAGTGAGTCCTTGTTACTAAAAAGTTCAAATGTGTAATAATTGTATTCTTTATATACTCTTTGTTTATAGCATGCAAAATATCTACATATAATCCCAAGTAGCAAAATGTCGTCTTTTTTGAGTCTGTAATATCATCACAGTCACGTCATAAAAGACGTCAAAAACGAAGTGATAATGACGCGCATAAGTCACTGACCGATGACGTGATTTACCTATGAGGTAAAAAGACGGTATATCTGTGACAAGAAATATATGCATCCAGGAAACGAGCCGACGATATTTG